ATGATATGAATAATTTCTCCTCACACTGCAGTTAAATGAAGTTTTGCCATTGATTTCAGTTGAGAGCAGGACCAGAACCAAAATGACCACTGACCTTATTTTCTGTATACATAAATATGCAAATGTTGGCATTTATAATTACTATTGGACTGTTTCAGTGTTTTAAGGACTATTTTCTTTATCTGCATGTCATTTGTGTCTTTGGAAAGACAATCAAAATCACCCAAACGTAGTTCTGAGAGAGGAAGAAGCAAAGTCAGAAGATAGTCTATGCTAGAATCTCAAACCTCTGATTAGATTGTCATTTCCCTTTCACGCATTTTCATAGGGAAAGGGGAACCATCTTTTCACTGTGTACAAAACACTAATCCAAAGCCCACATAAGTGAAGAGGGAGTCTGTCCACATCAATTTATATAAGCATTTGATCACAATGCATAAAATCAGTATCAGTGAAAGTATTGCAGTTTGTTACCTGGAGATGGTTGGCTACATGGTTTTCATAAACACTTTCCTTCATAAACCCCACCAGTCACTTGCACTTGCTGTCTGGAGTTTTTTTGGCCATGTTTTTGCAGTCTGAGCTCAAGGTGCCTGCAGGTGTACTGTGCTGCCAGTTCATAGTATAGATGGGTTTGATTGCAGCATGAGCAAGTGTATTCTCACTGGATTTATGGAGCTTGTAGAGAATAGCAGTGAAGAGGCACACTTCTAACATCAGTCTCACCTAGCAGTTTGACAGCATATCCAGGCTTCCTGTGAGACTTGTACAACTTGTACCAGTGACTGGACCAGTGTGTCTTCACAGGTGGTGTTACCATCGGGCAGTGCTTACCACTCATTCCTGATAAAGTCCCTGAATCCTTGTCAGTGAGATAATTTTGTTGGTTTCTTTCTTTCATAGGAAGCAGAAACATTTGTTCCTACAGCAAATACAATTATAACCTTCCTTTATCCTCCTTTGTTTTTGCATTACGTATGTTTTCTAAGAAAATACATGGTAAAATTTGACAAGTTGTAAGATCTGGAGGTTTTACTCCAATTAAAGATAGATACTTGGGAAGTACACATTGCATTTTACTTAAGATTTTAGATTAGAAAATATTGTGATTAGCAAACTTTGTCATACAAAATTTATTAACTGTATATTCTTCTACATTACTTTTTCATGATTGCTAAACTATTAAATAAGAGATTGGATAAAGAGTTATATTTTCAGTATATTCAAAATAATATATCTGAATATATTATATATATTTGAATCTTACTATATTTGAGACCATATTTTGAATATTTGTTATATTTGAAATATACAGTATTTTGAATATTCTGTATATTCGAAACATACAATGCCTAACAACTTTGTAGTATGCTACAGGATTATTCATAAGAGAAGTGTCACATGTTTCAAATGAGTCTTCCTTCTTTAGTATGGTTTCCTCCTCCTTCAGAAGAAATCTGTTTTAATTTACCACTTTGTTCATGGTGCAGTTTGTAGGAACAATTTGTGAAATGTAGCATATGAAATGCATAATTTCTGTTAAAAGTCTGCAACAGTGGTTCTGGGTTACCCTGTATTAGAGAGATTTCCAGCTATCAATGCCACGTGTTTGGGGTTTTTGTTTTTGTTGTTTAGTTTCAGGCACAGACTATAATTTATCCCAGACTTCAGTTTATTAAATGAGTGAAGCAGATTTGAGCATATATCTACATACACTTGGAACTTCTTTTGCTTATCTGAAGTACCTATCAGTAATAGATTTGTCTGAGTCTGGGTTGCAGGATTAAGGAAGTTATCTCAGCAGCTCATGGAAAAGGATACACCCACCATGATCAGAGAGAATCTATATGGTCTTCTGAAAATAGTCTTCATTTTTCTCTTACAATAGATGTGGTTTTTAAAAGCCTATTTAAAAGGATATATTACCAAAAATTTCTTTCTGGGGAATTAATTTGCTAATTTAATCGTAGACATTTTAATTTAATAATGAATTATCTGTTAAAAAAAAACCACACACAAACAACACAAAATCGTATACACTAAGAAATATTCAGTATTACTTTGACAATTTTACAGGCAGTAATAGCAAATGCTTCCCAAATCTCACAAGTCACCTGCTTATTTTCTGAACTGAATATGTCACATATATGTAATCTATCAGTGCCCAGAAGAATGTGTTTACTGAGGCCTATTTGTCAAGCAAAACTGCAATGCAGATTTATTTGTTTATGCAACATAGCTAACAGAATTCAAAGAGAAACTTCAATTAGTTGCAGAGGGTGAGAATCCACCCCCATTGCTAAGCACGGTGAACTACGAAGAATTGGTGTAAGCAAGATCGTCCAACCCCAGACATCAGCTAGCAGAGAAGTAGCCCCTGAAGTGTGCAAAGGGTGCTTATACAAATGTGCTCAGTGGAGTGAGGCTCTAGGGGCTCCTGGGAGACCTACATTAGTGACTAAGGCAGCCTTCTGACAGGAGTGTGAATCTCTGCTTTGCTTTAGAGGAGTGAGGCGAAAAACAGCTTTTTTATTTCACAGGCAGATTTGAAAATGTAAATCAAAACAGAAATGCAAAGCAGTTGTGAGGCTGAAAAGAAGTAGCATCTTGGCACCACTTTTTCTTCAGTGGCCTGATTGAATGAAAGAAATGGGTGCCTTACCTCT